CGTGTGACGAATTTTTAAGCCTAACAAGTGGGCAATACGAATTGGTGACGTAGAGCACGTGTGACCGCTTCACATGTGGGCTAACTTACTCTAATACTATGAAGAAAGTAAAGGTTCCACCATAAAACCAATTGGCAATATAAAGAATGGCCAACTTCTTATAAGCCCTTGTAAGGTTTCTCCTTTGACTAATATGCGACTCTTTTACCTCACACCCTCACACTCGAATTAGGAAACAAGTAATGTATATATCTTATAGCAATTGAACATGGAGAATGTATAAAGCCTACCTCACCATTTAAGCTAGTGTGAAAGTTACTCTTTTTTTCCGTTTGATTCTATTGCAGCGGCCTTAGGGGAAGGTTTTATGGCAAAGTCGATGGGATTCAGAAACACGGCTGGACCTGAAAAGCGTCAGGCAGTGGCAGCAAGAGTTCAAGCAGACCGCGCTATTTTTCTGAACTGCCGGTTTGAAGGGTACCAAGAGACATTGTACGTACAAACTCATCGGCAGTTCTATAAGAGCTGTGTCATTTCCGGCACCGTTGATTTCATCTTTGGCGACGCTGCTACCATATTCCAGAACTGCTTAATCTACGTTCGTAAGCCTTTGGAAAACCAACAAAACACTGTCACAGCCCAGGGAAGGACTGACAAACGGGAAACCACAGGAATAGTGTTGCAGAATTGCCAAATCATGCCCGACAAAGATCTTGAGCCAGTAAAGTCCCAATTCAAGACCTACCTAGGAAGGCCATGGAAAGAATTTTCGAGAACAATAGTGATGGAGTCGACAATTGAGGACCTGATTCACCCGGATGGATGGACACCATGGGAAGGAGATTTCGCGCTGAAAACGTTGTATTACGCAGAGTATAACAACAAGGGACCGGGCGCAAAAACTGACAACAGAGTGAAGTGGGATGGATACAAGAAAATTAACAAGGAAGAGGCAATGCAGTATACTGTAGGGCCTTTCTTGAAGGGGCACGCTTGGCTCAAGGTTGAGGGTGTTCCTGTTCGCTTCGGCCTATTTGAAAATTAAACGTAGTCCGTTTGTGACACGGAGATGACGATGGTGGTGTCGAAGTTATGTGATCAAGAAGAGTGGAACATCTGTGTCTAGAGGGAAATGGTAATGTTGTTAGTTTCTTTGTTTTAGCATTGATCATCAAGGGAGTGAAATTGACATCCTACTGTATTTGCAACACACTAATATATATTAGCCTTAAACGAAGAAAAAAAATCGAATTACGTACGAAAAAACATACGGTTCACTGTGTAGCAAAATTCATTCAATTGAATTCTAGGTTGTACCAAAATTGAATGCTTAGGTTTACATGTTTCCAAAATTTCGTTTTTTGATTCAAAACATGGTTCCAAAAAGTGGAGAAAGTTGTGTTCTGGTGGGGGTGGAATCCTGAAATTGTAGATGTGAATGTGATGGAAATGATGTACTGGAAATGGACTCTCTGCTTGTTTTTGGTGTTGTTTTGACATTTTGGTCCAATTACAAAAGTTCTTTCACTTCTCCACTCTATTTCATATGATTTTGTTATGGGCATAACAGTAAGACTAAAAGGTAAAAAATTAAGCAACGTCAAGACAAACATTGGAACTTTACATCAAGCAAAATATGGTTAAAACTTAAAACTTAAATTATTGATACTTTTTCTGAATACAAGCTTACATGATTTAAATTTTTTTTTTAAGAAAATCTTGACAGTACAAGACAAATTTTATTTATAACGAAAAAAAATAAAAGGTTACATCTAGTCAATGGGCAATAATTTTATGTCTCATAAAACAGAGACAACAAAAAAGAATACATGAAAAAGAATGGAGGACATAAACCTTATCCATCTAGAAACAAAAACAAGAATGACACAAAGAAGGGGGGCATGAAACCTAACCCTAAAACCAAACCTAAAGGTCTAAACTTGCAAAACAAGTCGAAAAACACCACAAAGTTAGGAAAACACAGGAAAGTGAGATACACTTGGATGCCGGGATGCACATTAATTTGAGAAGCAATATCCAGGCAAGGCGAGAATCATGCCATGTTAAAATTGGAGAAGATAAGCCGATGTTAGCAAAATTATCCGCAATAAAATTTCCTTCAAAATATATATGAGATGCATAGAAAGTCATTTTCGGAATGTGGTCCAAACAAATAAACTATTGTGTATGAAGAGATCAAGGAGGATCAAAATCAAATAATCGAAGAGCAGAAATAACATTAGGAGTGTCATTTTCCAACCAAAAACAATATCAACCTCACTGATATACAAACTCCACACTAATATAATTGTTGATAATTCTATTAAAAAAAAAAACTGCGATGACCAATGGAAATCCATTGATAGCAACCAACAAAAGAATCATTTTAATTTAGGTGGAGTGGCAACTCGAATTCCCAAGAAGACAGGCCTTGATTAAGTGAACATGGTACTTAAACTATAAATTTTTTAATCGTTAACACCACTAGAATTCTGGGCATCAGTCACCCATCTTCTAGGCACAGTTTCTTATGGTGCCCCTTGCTCAGTATCACCAACAGTTTGTTAGCCAACTAAACAAGTTGGCACCCACAGGTGTGCCCAAGTCGCCCACAGAAAAAAAAAAAGAAATTTTTAGTTGTGACGAGAACACAAGTAGTAAACCACATGCTTTAATAAGAATGATGAAAAATTTTATTTTTTAAGTTATTAACTTTTTAGCACACATATCTCACCATTTGTTTAGTGATACGTGATGTACCACTCCGTGTACTGGTCACACTGAAAAAATCTCTTCCAAAAAAGGGTCAACCCAAAAAAAAAAAGAAGGAAAAAGGGTGCTCAATGAGAAATTAGAATCCCCTACATATTTTCAATACTTTTTAGATCAAATATTGGTTCATTTTTAAGATTTGATTAAGAGGCTTTGACTAATTGCCACATCAACATTTCTCTATTTGAAAATTACATATAATTAATTTAAAAGCATCTGCACTTCACCTTGTAACTAATTGCCTACATTCTAGGAAATTACTTTCCCCGATCCTTTAAACTCCTTCGTTTTGATGACTCTTTCTATAAAAAATAAGTAATTTAAGTAATTTAAACTCCTACATTTTTAATGACTCTTTCTATAAAAAAAAATAATTAATTAAAGTAATTCCTCACTATTAGTTAAAAAAAAAATAATGAAAACAAACGTACTAAAAATTCAAATATACCAAGAAATTAAATGTACAAAAAATTCAAATGTAACCAAGAAACCAAATGTACCAAAAATTCAAATATACTATAAACCAAATGAATTTATCTTATAAGTAACCAAACGTACCGATATAATCAATGTCACATCCCGGCCCGGGGCGGATCACTTCCCGGGCCCGCTCCACCACCGTAGCACGATATTGTCCGCTTTGGGTCCCGACCACACCCTCACGGTTTTGTTTCTGGGAACTCACACGAGAACTTCCCGATGGGTCACCCATCCTGGGAGTGCTCTCGTGCGCTACTCGCTTAACTTCGGAGTTCCAAAGGAACCCAAAGCCAGTGAGCTCTCAAAAGGCCTCGTGCTAGGTAAGGATGAGAATATACATATAAGGATCACTTCCCTGGGCGATGTGGGATGTCACAATCCACCCCCCTTAGGGGCCCGACGTCCTCGTCGGCACACTTCCGGCCAGGGATAGGCTCTGATACCAAATTGTCACATCCCGGCCCGGGGCGGATCACTTCCCGGGCCCGCTCCACCACCGTAGCACGATATTGTCCGCTTTGGGTCCCGACCACACCCTCACGGTTTTGTTTCTGGGAACTCACACGAGAACTTCCCGATGGATTACCCATCCTGGGAGTGCTCTCGTGCGCTACTCGCTTAACTTCGGAGTTCCAAAGGAACCCAAAGCCAGTGAGCTCCCAAAAGGCCTCGTGCTAGGTAAGGATGAGAATATACATATAAGGATCACTTCCCTGGGCGATGTGGGATGTCACAATCAAACGGACAAACGTACCTAACAACGAGGTTTTTAACATTCTATTTAATTTACTAAAATAAATACTTCAATAAAAAAAAAAAAATCTGAAGTCATCATATTGAGAGATACATAAAAATAGGAGGAAAAAAAGGGAATGCCCAAAGAAATAACGTGAATAGACTTCTAACAAAATAAAATGAAATGATATTAAGTATCAAAATTGTAGAGAAAATGTTTAATCAAATTTTCTAAATGAAAATGTTTAACTTATGACATTTAAAAACGAGACATCTATATCAAAATGCTCCTTGTTTTAATTAATATTTTATGTTGTGTGATTGTGTAAATCTTTGTAGATTTGGTCTAGGATTTGTCTTTAATTTAGTAATTCTTTTGCCATTTAGTACTATGGTCTAGTGGTATTCCTTTTCACTTGTAAGTGAGAAGAATTTGAACCTCATTATTGCTAGCACATTATGAGGCTAAGTCCATGATTCCCTTCTAGTATAGATAATATCATTTATTCAAAAAAGAGAGTAACTCTTTTATATTAAGATTTGTATTATTTAGAGAGAAAATTCATCTCTTTTCGTGGTTTACTATAAATAAAGGTATCACCGTAAAGATCCTACTATTTTCCGAAGTCATATTCTCTCTATTCTCTCTTTGCCACACCTCTCTTACCAGTAACTTGGTCGCAACACTCGTGCAATTTTAATTATTTCTGTTGTAATAAACAAACGAAACCCACACCCCACCCTCTCTCATATTAAGCCACCTACACCACATACTCCAACACAAGTCTGCCTAAACCATGAAATTCAAACGACAGAAAAAGAATTCAAAAAACATCGTTGTTACTATCATGGACAACGGCACAAAGCATAAACACCATGAAAATATGGAAGAAGAATGCTTCAAGAGATACATGACTGCTCAAATTTTGAAGAGAAAAAAAGAAGTATCTGGAGTTCAAACGACATTAAAAGAATCCAAAAAACATCGTTGTTACTAGAAGCATGGCAACATCATGGACAAGGGCACAAAGGATAAACACCATGAAAATATGGGAGAAGAATGCTTCAAGAGAAACATGACTGCTCAAATTTTGAAGAGAAAAAAGAAGTACCTTGGGAGATCAAAGCACTGTTCCTCTTTTGTTTATGGACTGTTCATCTTTTATGGTTGAGCCTGAAAAAAAAATTAGAGAGTGAGTGTTGGATTCTTGATGAAAAGATTTTCTAGTGTACTGGGAAGACGGCTTAGTATACTAAGTATTATAATACAAGTGCTTAAATACTTGAAGAAAATTTGACAAAAAAAAATACTTGAAGAAAAATTCAATCATTTGGACTCAATGGTGTTGATATCTTGGAGAATGTGGCGAATGCTAGAGCTTATAACACGGATCACCAATCAAGGCTCTTGCTTGAAGCAGCTTCCATGATGGTAGAAACAAGGTGCGACACCACTATATGATTTCCGTTCTTTGTTGTGTAAGGAGATTTGTAAGTTGTATGACCTAGGGTCTTGCAAACGTCTTTGTCCAAGATATATGCTTGTTTAGAGTTTCGTCAAGTGTACAAATTTTTAGGTAAGACTAACTATCTAAACAACGTTGGTTCCATAGGTTTGCTCTCATGATAGTAGATAGTGCGACAGCCCTCTACAGAACAGATTTCTTAGGAAGAGGAGAACTTTCAGCGCGGCAAATGCATCTTGCAAAGTTTCTCCGGAGCCTTCAGAAGTTGGCAGATGAGGTAAAAATAGTTACACCATCACTAATCACAACACCATACTTGGACCCCCTAGATTAGCATTGTTATTGATCCGGATTTCCCCTCTGTACTGTGAACGCAGTTTGGCGTGGCCGTTGTGATCACAAATCAAGTGGTTGCACAAGTGGATGGTTCTACAATCTTTGCCGGTCCTCAAATTAAGCCTATCGGTGGTAACATCATGGCTCATGCTTCCACCACAAGGTTTGTAATGCTAAATGCTTTCACCTTCCTCCCAAACGGAACTGTTCTCACGTCAGCAATGAGCGTTACTCATCATTTGTTCCTTCTTACGACAGGCTTGCTGTCCGGAAAGGAAGCGGCGAAGAGCGCATCTGTAACGTGATAAGTTCTCCTTGTTTTGGCCCAAGCTGAAGCGCGGTTTCAGATCTCCCCAGAAGGTATGTCACCGACGTCAAGGACTAATACATTTTTCATGTATTGTTTTGGTACCTGTCTTGTAATAGGTCTGCAAGGATCCCAGCATAACTTTGTAATTTCTTTTCTACAGTTTGTATTCAATTTTTGGACAATTTGCCCAAAGCTTATAAATACAGGACTTTCCAAATTCTTTTTGGTTAAATCTCAAGAGTTAAATATAAGAGTCATTTTGGTTTCAATCTCTATTTAACCTAACCGTTAGATTGAAACTTTGTTTGTTTCAATATTTTGATTGAGGTCCTTAGCGTTTTGTAAGAGATTTAACTTCTGCATCTATACGTTATTTAGTATTATGGTTTAATGATATTTCTCTTCACATATAAATGAGAGGTCTTAGGTTTCATCCCATAGTGAATTTAAACCACATTATTGCTAGTCTATTACGAGGCTAAGCCCACCCTCCCCCTCAATTTAGATAATATTATTTGTTAAAAAAAAATAAAATAAAATAAAACTCTGCACATTATGCATTGATCAATATCCCACAAATTATAAAATTTAAATAAATTCAAATAATTTTTTAAAAATAAAGGTATAATAATGAAAAAAAAAACTAACAAAAAAATAATGTACCTACATAATTATTAATATATTTTAATAAATAACTATTGAAATCTCTACTAATTAATAAAACACTTATTGTCAACTGAAACTCTATAAAATTATCAGTTTAACCATCTAATTAAAAAGAACATAAATAAGAAATATGGGCCAAAAATGTAATTTCACACAACTAAATTTTGCTGTATTTTTTTTCAATGCCTCACACCTATACGTAATCCTAACATATCTCTAATTAAAATAAAATTAATTAATTAATTAATTAAAAAAAACATATTTCCACTCCCACATTCTCTATCACTCTCGACCTCTCTCCTCCTATTTCAAAAACAAAAACAAAAAATTTTCTCATACAATTTGTATGTGCCCAAATTAAAAATAAAATATATGAAAAATACATATTAAAACATGTTTTTCAATTTTAAAATTACGATATGCTAACATGTAAAATAATTTAATCGTTAAATAATAACGGGATAAAAGTGAAGAGACGGACAAAAAATGCAAGCAAGTTCGCACCAACTGTTTCCACGCCGAAGACGTCGTCGTCTTGTTCTACCCAACATAAGAGCCTTGCGTTTAAATCTTTATCGTCGGAAGAGGGAGCGAAGGACTGAGAAAAAACTCGACTGGGAGAAAAGAGGGCGGAGGAGAGGAGGCGAATTGTGGATGACGACGACGGCGACTGCAACCGTTGTATGAACCGACTTTGTTGTGAGTTGAAGAGGATTGAGAAATGGCGGCAAGCAAACCCGGCGTTCCGAAATCTGGAGCCATTTCCAAGGGCTACAACTTCGCATCTCACTGGGAACAGGTGCTTCTTCTTCTTCTTCTTCTCTCTCCTCCTCGTTGCCATAGATTCAAAATTCTTCATTGAAACAACGCCTTTTTCGTCTACATCTGAGTTTTGTGCAATTTTCTCCGCTTTATTGCAATTAGCTTGCTTCAGATCGGATCGGATCGGATCCTCTCGATATGAATTTTGATGTAGTGCTTTCTTTCCTCTGCAGAAAACTCCGTTATCTGAGCAGCAGCAAGCGGCCATTACAACGCTCTCGCATTGCATTGCGGAGCGGCCATTCCCACCCAATTTGGCTCAGGACGGCACTACAGGCCACCAGAATGGCCTAACTGTCTCCACCAAGGACAGCTCTTTGGGCTTGGAACATTCCGCCGCCATTGAAGCTGTTCTTGTCAATACGAATCAGGTACATTTTCGCCATCACATTCCATTATCTATTACAATTCGAAGGCTTTCACACTGAAATTAGCTTTTTCTACTTGCAGTTTTACAAATGGTTTACAGATCTTGAAGCAGCATTGAAGTCGGAGGTTAGTAATCGATTCTTGCAGCAAACTTATGTTGTAATTAAGTGTAAATTAAGCTCATTGCACATAAATTTTTCACATTTTAGACAGAGGAGAAGTATCGACACTATGTAGACACTTTGACAGAACGCATTCAGACATGTGATGGCATACTCGGTCAGGTAATGGCGATATATCTATCGGTATCGTTGAAGCATCTTTGTTTGAAGTTGTTGTGCTTGTTTGAAATAGCTGGTTCCGTTCTGTGCAGGTGGATGAAACCCTAGAGTTGTTTAATGAACTACAGAACCAGCATCAAGCAGTAGCAACAAAGACTAGAACCCTTCACGATGCTTGCGATAGACTGGTGGGACTTTCTTTCTAATGTTACCCCTTTTATTTCATCCACTTCCTTGGTGTCAGGTTAATTCATGGTTGTGGGGGCCTGGAAACTTATATAAAACATGATGCCTCCTCATTTTTCATTTGCAGTTAATAGAGAAACAACGGCTGATTGAGTTTTCGGAAGCACTCCGTAGTAAGCTCAACTACTTTGATGAATTGGAGAATGTAAGGTTTGAATCTACCTTACCTAGAGATATTTTGTTTGCTGACGTTGTGGTTTTGTTAAATATATGTGGTGATGCATAGCAGCATGGATAAACTTTTATTTTTGAACTAACAATTTAATTGATTCTTTTTCCAAAGCCTTTTAAGTTTTAAAAAATCCGCCCAAGTCAGTTTCTCCTTACTATGAATTCTCCTTATCAGGTTTGTAGTGTTACATTGAAGTTAATATACTTTGAAGCTTTGTGCCAAGGATATTACCTTCTTTTTTTTTTTTTTGTTCGGATGTGTGAGAAAATATCATGATGCACAAATTGTGTATGTAATACAAACCGCATAATATATTTATATATTCATCCTATTAGTATGTTATATATAATTCATGTTTAATTTTTCAACTGTGTGCAGATTACTACCAACTTTTATTCTCCAAACATGAATGTTCTGCATGAGAACTTTCTCCCTCTTCTCAAACGCCTTGATGAGTGCATATCGTAAGTGGGCTACCTTCTTTGTTAGTAACCGTGTGCAATTCTATGCTTCGGACACTATTCAGTTAAAATCCTTGGAAGTTTGTAATTCATACTAGGAAACATCAAGCATTTGATAAAGATATATTTATTGGATTAGAACTTATTGGTTTCAAACAATTTGTGCATACTTTAGGTACGTCGAAAGCAATCCACAGTATGCAGAATCCAGTGTTTACCTGCTCAAATTTCGACAACTGCAGGTATAATTTGCAAGAGTGTTGATTAGGTGAATAGTATAGAACAGAGATTGTCTTCCAGTAAGATTAATTTGACCTTCAATAATATATAATTTACTTGTTTTGGACAGTCTCGAGCCTTGGGAATGATTCGTTCTCATGTACTTTCAGTTCTCAAGGGTGCTTCTTCTCAGGTAATGTTAACTTATTGAACTGAATTACCATTAACACATCGTAGTAGACTTCTGTCTTAATATGCATTAATGTATATTACATGGCTTTGAATTATGGACACTGTCTTGCATCAGGTACAAGCAGCTATCCGGGGCAGTGGTGGCAATAACACATCTGTTTCTGAGGGTGTAGAAGCATCTGTTATATATGTCCGTTTCAAGGCAGCAGCAAGTGAGGTAACATTAATGATGCTATTAATTTGATTAATGCATTTAACCAGCCAGGGTGTGAAAAGTTGAAGGCAAGATGTGTCTGGAAAACATTTTCAGTTCTACCCTAATTTTTGAATGCGGGTGTGCAACTCTGTTCTTTTAGTTTTTAACTTCACACCTGTTTGTGTTGATGTCTAACAAGTAGAGTACTTGCAGCTTAAGCCAGTGCTGGAGGAAATTGAAAGCAGAGCATCAAGGAAAGAATATACTCAGATCCTTACAGAATGCCACAAACTCTACTGTGAACAGAGACTTTCGTTGGTGAGCTGATGAATTTTTTTTTTTTTTTTTTTGAAAAGGATCAATAGTTGTTTACCGTATTAATTCATTCCTTCATTTTATGACTTGTAATCAATCCACCTTTTTAATGCATTTTCAGGTAAGAGCTATAGTACATCAACGAATATCTGAATTCGCGAAGAAAGAGGCCTTGCCATCACTGACTAGATCTGGCTGTGCATATCTAATGCAGGTAAGATATAAATGCTACAAGGAATTTCATTGAGCAAAAACTCCTTAAAAAAAATACATGCGAAAGATTTGTCTATCATTGAATATAAGGTGAGGATGGGGTGTTTGACCCTGTCCTCTTTAATGATAGCGGGCAGTATCTTTGATATTTGATGTAATGTGATATGCAACTTATTCTCATGTATGAATTTGAGCCGCATACGTTGTGAACATAAGTTTCCATTGTAATTGAAACCACTATTTATTGCAGGTCTGCCAGCTAGAGCACCAACTTTTTGTTCATTTTTTTCCATCTTCTGCAGAGGACGTTTCAAGTTTGGCTCCATTGATAGATCCTCTGTAGGTCCCATTATATTTTTTGCTTTCAGTTCTTTTCTCTCGTTTTCTGCTTTCTTGAGAGGCTGACATGTAATAATGGGTTAGGCAATCTCTTTTAAATTACATGTGCCAAAAGTGAATGAAGCTTGATTGGTTTGGTCCTTTCCACTTCATTCCTTGTTAAGCTGTTACATTGTAGTATGGAGGTTGGCTGGTTGATTGGTTTATGCATGCTTTAAACCATATAATAACCTCCTTTTGGTGATAATTCATGCAGGTCTACATATTTATATGATACACTGCGGCCAAAACTTATTCATGAAACAAATGTTGATTTTCTTTGTGAACTTGTTGATATATTGAAAGCTGAAGTCCTAGGTGAACAGTTAAATCGGAGGACTGAATCATTAGCTGGTCTACGTCCTACATTAGAGAGAATTCTTGCCGATGTTCATGAGCGGTTAACTTTCCGTGCTCGAACACATATTCGTGATGAGGTGACTTCTATTCCTGAGAGTTCTCATTGTTTGTTGAGTTGTTACCTTTGTTTCTTAATTTTCCAGTTAATCTTGTTTTCTTGACTAGCTACCACTTTCCTTTTTAAATTTCTTAAAATCTCTCTCTTGCTTTTTTTCCAGATAGCAAATTATTTTCCTCTGGATGAAGACTTGGATTACCCTGCAAAGCTGGAAGGATCAGCGGCCGATCAACTTGAAACTACTTCTGTAACTTTTTTCCCATTTCCTTTTTGAACTTTTATGGATTTCTGAGATAAATTTTTGTTTACATTGCCTGATGCAGATAGGCATATAGGACATCCACACATGGTTTAATAATTTTAATTTTCTATTGTGTTTCATGCCCTTGATGAATTATTCATTCAGTCTGGTGAGATTGATTGTTCACTTAATGGAATATCCATAACCCAGAAACAAACTGTGTCTTTTTTTTTTTTTTTTATGTAAGTGATATTTGGGAGGTGAGAATAGAACATAGGACCTAAGGTGACATTTAGTGACCTTAGAACTTATTGATCACTTCTTGTATCAAATATATCCTTTAATTTTGCAGTCTACCTCTAGGGACAGTAGTATGCCTTTGCCCTTGTAACATGTTTCCAAGCTGGTAATTTCGGATTACTCACACACAATTTAATATATCTTTTATGGTAGTTGGTGCAACTGGTTTCCAACCTGGTAATTTTGGATTACTTATGCACGATTGAATATATCTTTTATGGTAGTTGGTGCAAGTGGTTACACTACTGTTGGCTCCAGTTCTGCATCATTTCTGGTTGATTTAATGTCCTTACCTACGATTGTTATATATAGATATGGATTGATTTTCTCATCTTTCCTTATCTTTATCCTTTGTCAAACACAGGCTGATGAAAACCTTGTTTTTAAAACATGGTATCCACCTCTAGAGAAAACGATATCTTGCCTTTCAAAGTTGTATCGCTGTTTAGAACCAGAAGTTTTTACTGGTTTAGCACAGGTACTTAAGTCTTTGCACAGCTTTCAAACTTGTCTTGAATAAATGCCCTTCATATAAATTTGTTAAACAATTATTTTTTTGGTATACAGGAAGTAGTTGAAGTTTGTTCAGAATCTATCCAGGTGAGCTACTGAATATGTACTGTCTTATGCAGTGCATTTTGAATTTCTGTGTGCATAATTCCAGTTAATTTTTTTTGTGTTACCTCTACTGTCATATTATCCCTGTTTATTAACATGATGGGATTTGTTTAGCATGGGCTTAATATGGTGACATACTTTTCTGGTGCTATCTTGATTGTTGTTTCTTTTATCTGCCAGAAAGCGGGCAAACTCATCACAAAGAGATCATCCCCAATGGACGGTCAGCTTTTCCTCTTAAAGCATCTTCTTATCTTAAGGGAGCAGGTGATTGTCCTTCTTTCTTGATGTATATATCATGGGTAATTGTTCTTTAAAAATGACTTGTTAATGCATCTATTTTGTCTTCCCAGATTGCGCCTTTCGATATTGAGTTTTCTGTTACACATAAGGAACTTGATTTCTCGCACTTGCTGGTTAGTTTTCTAACTCTAAAGTTCTCCTATTCAATGTATTATATAGTGTTCAGTAAAGTTCTATTAATGTTTGATATATCCTCTCGGTCTTTACTGGAATGATGCAACAATTTGTCATTATTTTGATTACAATACGTGGAAATTTTGAATTTTGAAATAAAGCCAATTTTTGTTTTCTTTTCAATTAAGTCAGTTCTCTAGTATGGACGGTATTTCATTGACGAAGATGTCTAGAATGTTGTTTTGTTTCGGGCAATAAGTATTAAAATTTAATTAAATGCCTGAATTTTGATGGAATGAAAATCTTAATATTTTTGAATCTTCTGGCAGGAGCATCTAAGACGAATTCTTAGAGGTCAAGCCTCTCTATCTGATTGGTCCAGGTCAACTTCACTAGCAAGAACACTATCTCCCCGAGTTTTAGAAAGTCAAATAGATGCCAAAAAGGTTTGTCAATCAATGGTTTCTTAGTTGACTTTTAGAGCATAACTGTAATCATTAAGTGGCCTTAAGCTGCTTTGGATCATTTTATTTTCCGCTTATTCTTTCACCTCGGTGTGTTTCTCTGCTAACCCCGTTTCCCTCCCTTTTCTCCATTAGATAGGATTGCAGAGCAAGCTTTCGTTTATACTTTTCACTTTGGTTCATTTTCTGGAGATTCTTCATTGTATTATTCGAAATAATTTGTCGGTAATCCATTCATGTAATGTACTTGCAGGAATTGGAGAAAAGCCTGAAAACCACTGGTGAGGAGTTCATTATGTCTGTGACGAAGCTAGTTGTGGATCCTATGCTTTCATTTATTACCAAGGTTTGTGTTTGTCATTCCCCCCTTTAGTAATATGGATTTGAAACGTGGAGCAAATGAGAGACCAGCATAGATACAAGTATACAACTAAAAATCAAACAGAACAGTAAAATACATTGCCGAAATCCACATTAGACATGTGAATAGCTCATAGACTTGCAGATACGTTGGAAACTTTTCTAACTTTACATCTTCATAAACTCATATCTGAGTGCTTGTTACAGCTTAAAACCCATATCATTCAAAAATGCTAACACAATCTTTATCCGTAGATTCCTATGGCATGTTGTTGAGGTACCTGGATGGATTGATGGATCCATAACTGAGTGCTCGACTGCTTGTTATAACTTAAATCCATAATGTCATTAGGCATCCTGCGTTTACTAAGTTTGTTCACATTTAGATATGATTTCTCTTGTTTTTCTACATCTGTATTTCAAAAGTTCGTTCATGTCTAAAAGGTTTTGGTTGTGTTTAGGTCACAGCTGTGAAAGGTAGTCAGAATCAAAAGGTAGAGTCGGTTATGTCCAAACCAATAAAAGATCAAGCTTTTGCAACCCCGGATAAGGTGGCCGAACTTGTTCAAAAGGTATGCATAATTGCTCGTTTTCTTTGACTGCAGTGGAGAGCCATGTTAGGGAGGGCCATCATAAATTTGACTGCTAGGGTTCTTGTTTTGCGGTCTACATATTTGATAACAACAGCTAAGTCTCATAATGTACTCTGGAACAGGTAGCTGCTGCAATTCAGCAAGAGTTGCCAATGGTAATGACGAAAATGAAGCTTTATTTGCAGAACCCGTCAACACGAACTATACTATTCAAAGCTATAAAGTAAGTACAGAATTCACTCGTACAATGTGAAATTTAAGGTCCTCGACAGATTAAGCTGGTATTTTCACTTGCTGACGGATCAGTTTATCTTCCTTTCCTAACTCGGTCCTGACAAGCCTTCTTCTTTTCTCCTTTTTTTCTGCAGGACAAATATTGTCGAAGCACATGTTCGTGTACAGACCCTGCTGAAGGACGAGTATTCAGCGGAAGAGGTACAAGGCATCATACACATGCCTTCCATACAAGAACTACATGCACAACTTGATAATCTCCTTTAGTGTGCACCATCTAAATTGTTCTTTTAGCCGCGCGATTTAAAGGTTATTTTTTCGTAGAGAAGAGAAATCCTGCAATGTTGAACCAGTTTTACAATACGACGAAAATATGTATCATTTTTTGTACCGTATAAAGCGCCGGTGGGCAGTCTTATAGGTTTTGTGTAGAACTGCTCATGAGCTGTTTTTGTTCGATTTCAATTTCCAAGTTTTGGTTCAATGAAGCACAATTTGTATTTTGAAAACGGTCATAATCTGTATCAGAATATGTGCTATTTGCAACTGGGAAATAAATGTTACTTGTTAGTTTGACTGTATAAACTATAAACGAGTAATTATGTCGAATTAGTGGTTGGATTATTATTCAAGTGAAAATAAGCCTCTAACGTTTTTTATTTTTGGACATATAGTCCATAAATTTATTAAACTGCCCATTTCCATCCTACTATAAAAATTCAATTTTGTTTTACCCAATTTTCAGTCAACTTAAGTTATGCGACTTGTAGGCGATACTAATGAGTGTAAATTGGCAGTTTATAAGGAATTTAAAGATTTGTTTTCCCCAAAATAAAAAGTCTAGAGAGGTAACTTAGGTTCGATTTTCGTTAAAAGCGAATTTGAACCAATTGCTAACTTATTGTGAGGCTTAGCGTACCCCTTTTCCTCTTAGTGTAGATAATATCGTTTGTTAAAAAAAAATAAAATATATATATATATATATATATATATATATTGACAACTAAATTCAAAGCCTATACGCAAATTTTATGGGCGAGAAGATGACAGTAGTTCTTTTAAAGTGCAAGTCGCATCATTTGACGGACCGTTGGATGTAACAGCTTTGAAACTAACTTTAATAGTTTAAGGACATATTTTTCCAATAGAATAATCTGGAAAAAACTAATTTTCACTCGGGTAATAATCGAACGCTATTTACCTCTTATGAATAAAGAAAATGTGAAAAAGGGAGAGGCTTGCTGCTTTGTAGCTTTGCATTGGACATTATTCTACTGAGCTCACATCTTCAAATATACAAGTAAAAGTAGTAAGGATTATTTTCACATATATACAGGCTAGAAGACATTAATTCAGCTCGGATCTTGCGCAGTTTCTTCACCAAGGTCAGATTGCGACCCGCTCGGTACGATCGTTAGGGGAGACCACTGATCGGGCACCATGAGGAAGTAGGTTGTCATAGCTTTCCTGAATCGTTTCTTGTATTGCTGGGGTGAAATCACGGTTGGAGACGTGTTCTTGGGTCCACCGAGAATCCCGGAGGTCTTCACCCAAGTTTCAAGGTGCTTGTCCCATGTGTACTGTCTCATAAAATCAATGATCCCCACAACCAGCTCATCCTTTTCCTCGTCCACACCGACCAGTAACGAGTAGTCCATGACATCAATCGACTGTGGCAAAATAGATGACAAGATGTTAGCAAACAACGGATGCCAGGGCAATCAAACACCAAAATCTAATCACTACGCCTCGAAAACAATCACACAGGATTTGGAGGGAGGCGCCGATGAAAAGAATACATGCATTCTTCTCTGCACACTGCATTGGGTGGCGTGGGGTAGTATATGTGTCATGCCATTCAAGAAATCACGTCAATTCGGAGAATAGTATTTGTTAAAATCTTTGTGCACAGAGCATTTTCCGATTGGAAAAACAATGGGGTTACTGAGGAAACATTAATGCGGCAACAGGGAGTTAAAATCGAACTTACAGCAAGGAACGCAGTATCATTCCAGACAGCTCTCTCTAGTCGCCGCTTTGCCTTGCTCCCCACAAAAATTGGAGAAGTCGGCATTGCTTCAATCAGATTCTGGTCGAGTAGAACTTTATTGCTCCCACTTGTATCTGGATTATAACGTGATCGAGAAGATCCTTTCAGATCATAAAGCCGCGTGACATTCCGTCTAAATAATAAATTCTCCATTACTAAAACATCCATCTTGGACTCTTTCCCTGCTTTACCATGCTTTGACGAAACCTTCAAGACAAAAGAGAAACGAAAAATTGGGTCAGACTTAAGTGAAAAGTTGTATATCAGGCCACTAAAGAAAAACGTTAAGCATTTTAGTGAGAGCAAGAGAAACGAAGAATACCTGATAAATACCCAGGATCTTTGCCAGGCAAGTCGGGCTTCGAAAACTGATTGACTCGGACAAATACTTGAAATAAGATGGTGCAAACTTGATAAATGATTCCAGCTCTGTCTTTGTAACTTGTTTGATGATAAATCGATCATCCAAGGTTTTTGCAAAGAAAACGTTGCTCTTGCCACCCTGGGCGCCCCACTTCTTACAGCGGCTGAGAGATCGCACGAAATCTCTTTCAGAAGGGCAACACGTCCTCCTTAAAGCCTCAAACCGCGTTGCGTAGTAACAAGTCACAGTATACTTCACCTTACCAAGGGGGCCATCATCTGTAAAAGAAACTCTAGCATGAATGTCCTTTGACAAAAGTGAGTCCAAAGCTTGAGAGCTCCGCGACCGTGACACAGATGACATGCTCTCATCAGAAGAACCAATATTTCTGTAGGTCTCAGAAAACGACTCATCAAAAGAGCTAAGTGAGAGAAGATTTGCGGAATCAAAAAGAGGTACTGAGACTGAACCATCCATAGCATCTCTTGGTCTCTCAGACTCAGAAATCTGCACATGATAATCTGGCGAGACAAGTGCATAGGCAATAACACTAGTGGGTTCATCGTCAAAAACAGGGATGACAGTGTCATTAATACCAATTGGCAGTAACAGCCTGGCACCACTTTGCCTTTCCGATTCGCGGAACATTGGAACATTGACGGGATTGTATTCACCAATATTGATCTTTTGTGCATTCAGTGAATAACTTTTGTCAAATACCTTGAGAGATGATGTAGAGCTAAGAGAATGAGTTGAAGCAGTTGTCTGTACCCCAGCTTGGTCAACAGCACAATTTTGCAGATCTGAATTCGATGCAACTTTTCTCATCACAGTCGGAGAATTTACCAAGGTTGAATCAGGTTTAGAGTAGCCATTCTCTTTAGGAATCATACTAGTTGGGTGACTTTCACCAGTCCAAGCCGCATCAAGGGTATCAGATAAATTTGCCACTACTAGACTCTCATTCCCTTCTGAGAGGGCCCTTCGTTCGCTTAGGCCAGACTCCAATGGATCAGATTTATCCATGGCATTTTCAGAGGACCGTGTGGAAATTTTTGCCTCGTTACTATGATTCGGGTTCTGAACGATTTCATTGTTCTTCTGCTCCCCTTCAGGCTGGCTAAAGCCGCCAACATCTCCTCCTTGATAAATACTTACATCTGGCTTTGTTTCCCGAAGAGAGGAATCACAACTACTAAATCCTTTACCTGGCTTGGAGTTTATATTTGTCTCGACAAGCTTCTCCATAGAACTGATAGGTTTCTCCTTGAGTTTTGGAAGGGAACTTCTCAAGCCTTCCTGGAAACTATTTTTACTTAAACTGGCAGCCTGAATTAGGCGTTGATCCCAAATGTAAGAATGAAAGAGCAACTGCCTCCTTAATCTATTGATCTCGAGAATATCAACTGCAGGCTGGCCACACTTCACCTCCCTATGCATCGCTTTTTGTAATGATTCCTAAACAATGTCATGTCACGATTGAGATACCAAAGGATTAAAATATGTAACTTCCCTCTCCAACAAATGAAAAATAAAATAAACAATGCATGTAGAAAGGTGGTGTGATACACATAAACTACCTCAAAGTCTTCTCTTTCCTTTTGAAGCATCTCTTCAAGTTCTACAATTTGATGACTTGATTCAGGTGCTTTCTTCCCACCATCCGGTGTCCCTGAAATTGGTCTCTTCTCCAAAATCTGATTAAGAGCATTGTGCAATTCAGTAAAGAGAAGCTCTGCCCGATGACCCACCTAGTAAAACAAGATCAATAATCTCATAAGCATTGATAAATTTAGAATCATTTGCTACATTAACTAAGATTAAAAATAAAAGATAATAAACTTACCTCCTCCACTTCTTTTTGTATCCATTCCTGATTATCATAGTTAAATTCGAGTTTTTGTGGAGGAAGATAAACAGAATGAACATGAATGGAGGCATAGCGGAAGCAAGCAACCATTCTTCCAAAACTGTACATGTAAGAACAATAGCATAAGATAAAAACATAGTGATAAAACGGCATAGACTTTTCTCTGAAATTAAAAAACAAGAAAGAAGGTAAACTGAGGATGGTGCAAAAGTTAGCGGGTCATAAGTGAAAATGCATACCCATAAAACCGAAGACAATCTCTGTGAAGGGAATGACCACAAGTTGCAACTCTGTTCGCAGCTGCATGATTTGAAAAGCTTAACTCTAAAAACTTCCCAAACGATAAACCCCAAGCAGCATCGGACATGACTACTCTTCGAGTTGCAGGAGGGAAGCCATTGGCTCGAGGACATTTCAAGCACCTGTGCCACATCCAAATTTTGCCTTCCCTTTCCCCAGGTAGAAAAATCTCTGGGAGCTTCTTAACAGAAATTGTAAGGCTCCCTTGTCTATGAGTATAACAATGAACATGCGCTTCTGATGGCATCCCACATGAACGACAAAGGTAATTCTGATAGAGAATTATGACACAACTTCATCTTATGAAATTGCTTATGAAAAATATGTCCACAAAATTAGCAAAAACAAAAGGTAATGATTGAAAATGAAAAATACCTGATCAAACAGATGATCTCGTAAGAACCTCCCCAAAGGCTTATCAAAACTTCCGTAGTATTTGATTCGAAACAGATGGGACCGTTCACACACAGTTCCCTTCCACACACAACGTGTTGACAGGGAAACCAAAATGCTTTGGTGGTCAGAAGGTGAGGGTGGAAACTCTTCCTTTGAAGATCCTACCTCCTCATTCTGATAATCACTATGATGTTTTATGGATGTCAACTCTGGAGTCTCACCATGATTTGCAGCTAAAGCACCGCCACCATGTCCTAATGACTCTGAGGTGGCAAGAGAATTAGAGATCAAACTACTGTTGAGCAAAGCTTCCCCAGCCTGAGCTGGATTGTCCAGGCAAGAATCTTTAGAACCTGCATCAATTTTATTTTCAGAGGCACATATTGAGGGGAGCTCTTTACGGTAACATTCTGTGATATCCTCTTCTGGTGGAGACAAGGAAGTAAAGGGAGATCTAGATTCTCTAGAGCTCAAAGCATGTTCTATGAGAAAAGCTTGAGAACAAGCTTTAGATGAGCAAATTGAATCGGCACCTTGCATGTTCAAAATGGGGCCACTAGTGGTAGATGAATTGTTATCTGAAATTAACC